ACATAACTTTGAAGTTTCAAAGTATACATATACAAAATGGTATGTTTTCTAGTTTTCTCTCAACAATTTTGTAGGGAGAGAACATAGTTGTGAATTTGGACTCGTGATGAACAATTTCTCCCAATCAATGTGATCTTTGTGAGCGTATAGACTTATTCAAGGAGAAGGTTTTGCTCTCCCACGTCAATCTTCAATCTTAAATCACAGTTTGAATATAATGTTGATTGATAAGATACATTACAATAGATGATGGTTTTCGCAACTCAAATCCACCTGCATTCAGTATTCAACAAACAAAAAGGATTCACCCAAGATAAGATATTCAGTGACAATATGAGGATTTAGCAACCGTTGTGATTATCTTTGATTGAAACCCGTAAGAGTGAAATGAAATCGAAAAAATAACTATCTGGCATAATATAAAATTTATTAGGCATTCTCTTTATGGATTTTTTCTTAGTGTTTTGTATATATATATATATATATATATCTATATATAAATATAAATTTATTTCGATTTTCTAAATTATTAAAATGACATCAAAAAATATTATATAAAAAAAATATCTAAAAAAAGAGATGAAGCCATAACTAGAAGAGTATTACACATTATATCGTTTCTAATTCCTTAGAGATCAAAATAATACACCCTCTCCCTACAAAATTTGTCCACATTAAATTTGAAGTAGATTACAAAACTCACTAATTTAAAAATTGCCCTAAAAAAAATTCTATTGTTTTTTCCCCCCTTTGCCCAACATGGAGTTATATAAGTTAGAAGACATGATTCCCAATTATACCCCCCAAAAGAAAAAATATGATTAAAATGTCCAATCGTTAATCAATACTCATACTTACCCAGCCGGTTGGATCGAATGCCATTGACGACGATAATGATGCCATGGAAATTAATGAATTAAAGGCGAGCGGTCAGGATGGAGAAGAAAGGCACATGAATTCTTTAACCCCCAACTTTTGTCATCATCACATCTGAAGCTAAAGCTCATGATTTCCTAGTTATGGTTAAGGAACGTTTTTTTTCTTTCTTTGAGAAAAGAAAATAAGCAATGAGAGACAGAGGGGGTTAATAGTCCACGTGCCATGCCTCTCCATCTCGCTCACTCGTCTTCTCCTTGGTAAAGAGGGATCCCTCTATTTTTTTGGTCGTAAACAGATTTCATCCATAAGTGAAAGCCAGTTGCCTTAAAGAAAAATGAACATGAACCTAAATAATCATGTGCTAATATAGAAAAGGGTGCGATATCAAAAAAATAAAGTTCCTAGTTCTTCCTAAAACCTCCTTTGCTAATGTATTACCACAAGAAGTTTCCCTAAACATGTGCTTAAAAAAACGCTTCTTAACTGCTATCTAAAAGATCCTGAAATGGATCTCAAATCAGGATTCAAAGTTCTGAATGCATTCAGGCTATTGCAAAGCTTAATTGGCAATAAGAATATGTAAAAAGAGGAAAGGAAAGCTAAAATCATTTAAGAAGTTACTTGGATAGTGTAATTTCATTGCAGATTTAGTAGCAATGTTGATATTAGGTCTTTTGAAAACTCCATACTAAAATGACCTGCAAAAAGCAGGCTAGTTATACTGTAAACTTGAGAGAATTGGTGTTTGTACATATCTTGAATTAATACAAAGTTTACCTTTTGATATATATATATATATATATATATATATATTCAACGATTAGAAAATTTCAATTTAACAAAGTGATTAGTTCTTCTTCTTCGTTTTCTTCCTTCCTTTTGAAATGCTCCCTTAGATTTTAATGATAAGGAAAAACATAATTGCGACGTAAATCATACTTTTACAAAGCGAGTATTAATTACCACTTAATGCATAATTTATGAGAATTGTGATATGTTGAGTTAAAAAAAAAAACGAGAATTGTGACGTGCACTATTTTGGTAAAAAGCAAAATGTACAAACGGAATCAGAAGAATTTAACCAGGGAGATGCGAGACTTTAACCATCTATCTATAATCTATCTATATAACCTCCATTATAGTAAAAACTATTTTTTCAAAAAAATCCAAGTGTCTGTCGTTGCTTAAAAGTGTGCCCACCTAAATCCATCAAAAAAAGAAAGAAAAAAAACGGGAACTATCCCCTAATAAAATCCCATTTCCCGAATCTCACTAAACATCTTTTTTTTTCCCCCCATTTTCTAAAAAGCCTGTCCCCACCGGTCTCCATTCCTAAACTAAATGCCGAAACCCTCCTCCTCTCCTAGCGCTGGCCACAGTCACCTCGAATCCTCATAGACCGACAAATATTGGCCATCTCGTTTTCAAAAACCTTCAATTACACAAAAGTAATTTTTTTCGTCTATTCTAATTTATAAATCCTCCCACGGTGCCTCATTCGAAAACTACGGCAGCGGTGATCGATTCAATACCTCCTATCAAAACGAAACCATGAATAACTGGGATAGTCAATTTTTTTCGTGAATGTATTCCGGTTGGTTTCTTTAGCACAATTTAAGAATTTGCTTTTATCGGTTCTCTTAAAACATTTTTATTCCAATATTTACATCATTGTAATTCATTTATTGTTCAGAATTTTATAATATTTTTAACCCTTACAGTCCCGTTAATTCATGAAAATCACTTTCATCCAAAAATTTTGTTTTAATCTTCTATGTTGACCCCGTTGTTTATGGAGAAAATAAACAGCCATCTACTCCCCTATCCCAATCTTCTTAGAAAACGGTGGCATAGAGTTAATTAAACTGTGCAATAATTCTCCTTAATCAATATCTGCCATGTGTGTAATTTCATCATTGGTTTCCTTACTGGTCACATATAAATATCGATCACTAGCCATTTGCTCAGCACATTTCATCACGCATCTGTTATGGATGCTTCTGCTCCCAATTTCTTCATCGATGATATTGTGTTGAGTGAAAATAATGTACCATGGGTTGTATGTCTTATCCGTGTTTGGAAACAAATTCCGAAGGATAAGTCAAATACCCTATGGACTCTTGAAATGGTGTTAGTAGATGCTAAGGTACGTTCTCTTTTAAATATACTATCTTGTAAATGTGTTTCTCTTTTTTAATATTTATGTTTCAACTCTTATTTCTACAAATTTTATCATGCATGTGCGAATTCATCACTGCAACTACAGGTGCATAAATTTTAATGTGTATTCCTAAAAATTGTAATTGCAGGGGGTCTACATTCTAGATATCCGCAAAAAAACGTGATTCCCATGTTTGAAGGCATAGTGAAGGAAGGAGAGTAGAAAATTATCTCCATATATGGTGCTGTCGAGCATCATAGTGAGTGGAAATACTCCAAGCAAACTTATAAAGTACTACCTCCGTTTGTTGTTATCTATCATTTTAGGGTTTGTACAATTGTTAAGAAAACAATGATTGGAAATTTAATTTATAAGGGTATTGTTTCTCTTACTCTTAATTAAAAGTATTGGTACTCTAAAAAATATAGAATTGAAGTTAAAGAGTAGGTAATTGTCATTAATAAATATAATATTGAAAGTAGACAGAGATAGAGGTAAAAATTAGAAAAATTATATTTAATGTTGCATTGGAAATGAAGTAGGACAGATTAAAAAAATATTTTAGGTTCACCTTAAAATGACAGATAAAAAAAAATGGAGGAAGTAGGTCTTTACATAACCACCAGTTTTGTAAACTGCAAACCTTTTGATCACATAGTGCCTTACCCCGGGTTCAAATTTGAACCTTTTAAGAATAGAACATCCTTCATTCGAAGAACGATCCAAATATCTTAATGGGTAAGAAATACTTTCAATTTTAATGATCTTTTGCAACAAAATAAACTTACAACTGCATTGTGATAAAAAATTAATCATATTTTTCCCGTATCCGCTCATATCTGCTTGGCAAAATTGTGGGCCATTCAAAAGTTATCTCTGAATTCAACTGAGGAAGGAAACATAGACTCCTAATTGAACTTGAGGATTTGGACTAAGAAATGCAATCAAATTATAAACAATTGAATACATTCATTTTGGCTTATTGGTATATACTCACGTTGGAAGGATTTAGAAATATGATTTTGTAAATAATTATAAAAAATAATATTGTCACTTTTAATCACTGTATAATATATTTTTTTTCAATTAAGATATAAGAATACTGCACTTTCATTGATTTTATTTAGAAATATAAAACTTGATTCATCCATAAACAATTTCATACCCGTGCGAATGCGCGGGTCAATAACCTAGTTATCATTATAATATTCTTGACCACATGCCAAAATGAGTAAATGTACAATTCTTATCCACTAAAAATTTAGGATGTCTCCAGGGTGACTGAGAGAAGCTCGAACCATTATACTACTTTTTGCAAAAAAAAAAAAAAAATTTTGATACAAAAATATAATATTCAAAATATTTTTTACACAAAAATTCTTTGCAACTCCGACCCTTAAATGCACCAAAGCTTTATATATTTTATTTTAAATGTTATTTTCGTAGTTGATTAGAATCTTGTAGTTTGATGATAAATTTGTGTAGCTAATTTCTTAATCATTTTTATTTGATTGTAGAGCTATCAAATTTCTCCAATTTTGTCGCAAATTTAATTTTAATAATGACGAACAAAAATTTTTTAAAGCAAATTTAACTATGTAGTAAACATGTATCTGGACCAAAGAGAAAAGGTAATGCACCAAATAAAGTTTAAATTGACAGTTTAGCACTACGTACACTGATATGATGTATTCATTAGAGTGAAAATTTTAAATCAAAATACTAAATTTAGTATTTTAATAATTTTTTTCAAAAGAAAAAATATTTTAATCTTTTTGTTTGGAGTTTATAAAACGGATAGTATCATAGTATGCGGCCATGCGAAAAAAAACAGAAGACTACGCTTCATCAGAACACACTTCACTCTCCTCTGTTCTCTTCTCCCTCTCTCTCTTTCTCCACCTTTTCCTTTTTTTCCAAGTTATACACACTCACGCACTAACGCACAGTTCTCCCCGTCATGGAATTCGTAATTTTGAATTCCCTAACGCCGCCGCCGGCCGAAGGAGTCACCAACGCCTCCACCACCGCCAAAGGTACTCCTTCTCGGGAGAATTTCAAGAGAAAGCGGTCCAGGGGTGGCCCTACTCTTCTCCAAAGCACTAATGTTAATTCCGGCTCTTCCAACCCGACCGATGCTGCCGACACCGCCGCCGAGCCCAAATACGAATGTAACGTTTGCCGAAAGCGGTTCTATTGTTTCCAGGCCTTGGGCGGCCACAAATCATCTCACCGGAAGAAGACCCCGATCCGCAACCCCGCCGGAAACCCCCGCGCGTGTAGAATCTGCCCCTTGGTGTTTCCCTCCGGCCAAGCCTTAGGCGGTCACCAGCGGGCTCACTACGTGTCCCCTGCTGAGGCTCAAATCGCAAGCGGTGGCGGTGGACACGTCAGCAGCGAAAATGACACCTGCCCCACCACTTATGCTACCGTAACCGCAAGTAGCATGACCTCATCTGATGGAGACGGCGCGTCAACGCGGACTCCGGCGAGGAGGCCGATGTTCGACCTGAACGAACCGCCGGAGATGGACTCGAGATTGGGTCCCGGGGCCGACCCGGAAGATCAGATGAGAGGAGATGAACATGAAGTGGAAAACCCATTACCCGCGAAGAAGAATCCGCCTGGAAGTTCTTCATTAGCTATCTAAAGATTCTATTCATTAATGAATGATTCAACTTTGTTAATGCTTTCAGTTCATAATGCTTTGTTTATTAGCATAGTACTTCAGCATGGCTTTTGTTGCTGCTAGATTTAATTTCTTGGGGCTATTCTCTGCAATTTAGGGATATTGGAAGACCAAGTAGTTATTGTAAATATTTTGAGGAATTAAAGTTGTTCTCATCACCTAAAAAATGTCAGTAGCATTTTACTTTTGTGATTTTGATTTGACTTGCAATGTTTCAATGTTGGACGCCATTAAGGGTTTCACAATGAGGCTAATCAAACATAATTTCCTTATAACTAAACTGAACAATCTGATTACCCGCAAATCAAAGACATGGTTCAAGATAGTTTCTGCGGATGTACATTGATTAATTATGAGTTTTACCAACTAAGTATAATTGTTAGAAGTACTAGTTTTTATCTACTATTTTAAGAAAGTACGCAAAAGTATATAATTTCTGAACAATTCCAAGACTCTACAGCTTCAAAATGGAGCGGTTGAAATCTATTTGCCATGTCTTTGATTGAGGTAGGCATAAACTTGTAAGGGGAACCTTGAACTCATTCAATTGGATGATCCCCCCCAAAAGAAAAGGCTACAGAAAACTAATACAAAGAACTTATTCATTTGAATTATTGGTTTCTAGTTCCTTTGAGATGAAGCGTTCCTTTGCAGTCGGAAAAATTACTCATTTATAGTCGAGTAGACATTTTTACCCTTCTCCCTCATTTCTTTTCCTTTCCTTCCTCCTTTTCCTCCTTCCTCCTCCTTCTCCTTTCTTCTTCTTCACATTCAAACCCAAAAACCCAATCTTAAATTTGAAGTAGATTACAAAACTCAGTAATATAAAATTGCCATAAAGAATATTCTATTTTTTTCCCTCTTTGCCCAACTTGCAGTTATATAAGTTAGAAGACATGATTCCCTATTAAACCCCCCAAAAGAAAAAATATGATTAAAATGTCCAATGGTTAATCAATACTCATACTTACCCAGCCGGCTGGATCGAATGCCATTGACGACGACAATGATGCCATGGAAATTAATGAATTAAAGGCGAGCGGTCAGGATGGAGAAGAAAGGCACATGAATTCTTTAACCCCCAACTTTCGTCATCACCACATCTGAAGCTGAAGCTCATCAGTTCCTAGTAAGGAACGTTTTTTTCCTTTCTTTGAGAAAAGAAAATAAGCAATGAGAGACAGAGCGGGTTGATAATCCACGTGCCAGGCCTCTCCATCTTGCTCACTCATCTTCTCCTTAGTAAAGAAGGATGCCTCTATTTTTTGGTCGAAAACATATTTTATTCATACATGAAGGCCAGTTGCCTTGAAGGAAAATGAACATGAACCTAAATAATCATGTGCTAATATATAAAAGGGTGCGATATCAAAAAAATAAAGTTCCTTGTTCTTCCTGAAACCTCCTTTGCTAATGCATTAGCACAAGAAGTTCTGAATGCATTTAGGCTACAGCAAAGCTTAATTGGCAAGAAGAATATGTAAACAGAGGAAAGGAAAGCTAAAATCATTTAAGAAGTTACTTGGATAGTGTAATTTCATTGCGGATTCAGTAGCAGTGATGATATTAGGTCTTTTGAAAAACTCCGTATTAAAATGAGCTGCAAAAAGCAGGCTAGTTATACAGTAAACTTGAGAGAATTGGTGCTTGTACATATCCGGAATTAATACAAAGTCTACCTTTTGATATATATGTATATATATATATATATATATATATATATATATATATTCAACGGTTTCGAAATTTCAATTTAACGAAGTGATTAGTTCTTCTTCTTCGTTTTTTTTTTGCTTCCTTTTGAAATACTCCCTTTGATTTTAAAGAAAAGGAAAAACATAATTGCAACGTAAATCTTACTTTTACAAAGCGAGTATTAATTACCACTTAATTCATAATTTACGAGAATTGTGATGTGCACTATGTTGGTACAAAACAAAATGTACAAGCGGAACCAGAAGAATTTCACCAGGGAGATGCGAGACTTTAACCATCTATCTATAATCTATCTATATAACTTTCATTATAGTAAAAACTATTTTTTCACAAAAATCCAAGTGTCAGTTTAAATGTTATTTTCGTAGTTGATTAGAATCTTGTAGTTTGATGATAAGTTTGTGTAGCTAATTTCTTAATCATTTTTATTTGATTGTTAGAGCTATCAAATTTCTCCAATTTTGTTGCAAATTTAATTTTAATAATTACTAACAATAATTTTTTAAAGAAAATTTAACTATGTAGTAAACATGTATCTGGACCAAAGAGAAAAGGTAATGCACCAAATACAGTGTAAATTGAAAGCTTAGCACTACGTACACTGATATGATGTCTTCATTAGAGTGAAAATTTTAAATCAAAATATTAAATTTAGTATTTTAATCTTTTTTTTCCAAAAGAAAAAATATTTTAATCTTTTTGTTTGGAGTTTATCTAAATAGAGAAAAAAAAACCGGATAGTAACATAGTATGCAGCCATGCGAAAAAAAACTGAAGACTACACTTCATCACAACACACTTCACTCTCCTCTCTTCTCTTCTACCTCTCTCTCTTCCTCCACCTTTTCCTGTTTTTCCAAGTTACACACACTCACGCACTAAAGCACAGTTCTCCCCGTGATGGAATTCGTTATTTTGAATTCCCTAACGCCGCCGCCGGCCAAAGGAGTCACCCACACCACCACCACCGCCACCGCCAAAGGTACTCCTTTTCGGGAGAATTTCAAGAGGAAGCAGTCCAGGGGTGGTCCTACTCTTCTCCCAAGCACTAATGTTAATTCCGGCTCTTCCAACCCAACCGATGCTGCCGACACCGCCGCCGAGCCCAAATACGCTTGTAACGTTTGCGGAAAGCGGTTCCATTGTTTCCAGGCACTGGGCGGCCACAAATCATCTCACCGGAAGAAGACCCCGATCCGCAACCCCGCCGGAAACCCCCGCGCGTGTAGAATCTGCCCCTTGGTGCTTCCCTCCGGCCAAGCCTTAGGCGGTCACCCGCGGGATCACTACGTGTCCCCTGCTGAGACTCAAATCGCAAGAGGTGGCGGTGGACACGTCAGCAGCGAAAACGACACCTGCCCCACCACTTATGCTACCGTAACCGCAAGTAGCATGACCTCATCTGATGGAGACGGCGCGTCAACGCGCACTCCAGCGAGGAGGCCGATGTTCGACCTGAACGAACCGCCGGAGATGGAATCGAGTTTGGGTCCCGGGGCTGACCCGGAAGATCAGATGAGAGGAGATGAACATGAAGTGGAAAGCTCATTACCCGCAAAGAAGAATCCGCCTGGAAGTTCTTCATTAGCTATCTAAAGATTCGATTCATTAATGAATGATTCAACTTTGTTAATGCTTTCAGTTCATAATGCTTTGTTTACTAGCAGAGTACTTCATAATGGCTTTTGTTGCTGCTAGATTTAATTTCTAGGGGCTATTCTCTGCAATTTAGGGATTGGAAGACCAAATAGTTATTGTAAATATTTTGAGGAATCAAAGTTGTTCTCCTAAGCTAAAAAATGTCAGTAGCATTTTACTTTTGTGATTTTTATTTGACTTGCAATGTTTCAATGTTGGACGCCATTAAGGGTTTCACAATTAGGCTAATCAAACATAGTTTCATTATAACTAAACTGAACAATCTGATTACCCGCAAATCAAAGACATGGTTCAAGATAATTTCTGCGGATGTACATTGATTAATTATGAGTTTTACCAACTAAGTATAATTGTTAGGAGTACTAGTTTTTATCTACTATTTTAAAAAAGTACGCAAAAGTATATAACTTCTGAACAATTCCAAGACACTACTACAGCTTGAGAATGGAGGGGTTCAAATCTGTTTGCCATGTCTTTGATTGAGGTAGACATAAACTTGTAAGGGGAACCTTGAACTCATTCATTTGGTTGATCCCCCCCAAAAAAAAGGCTACAGGAAACTAATACAAAGAACTTATTCATTTGAATTATCGGTTTCTAGTTCCTTTGAGATGAAGTGTTCCTTTGCAGTCAGAAAAATCATTCATTTACAGTCGGCTGGACATTTTTATCCTTCTCCCTCATTTCCTTTCCCTTCATTCCTCCTTTTCCTCCTTCCTCCTCCTTCTCCTTTCTTCTTCTTCACATTCGAACCCAAAAACCCAGTAATTAAACTTAGATCTACAAAGATTCAGGAACTAAAAAAATGACGGATCGAGGCAAACAAAGTCGGGGGAGCTCGCCTTTTGCACCAGTAAGTTTTTTTGTATCAAAAAATTTGAAAAAAAAAAAATTCTAGAATGGGTAGCCGGCTTCGGCCCGGCTACCCCGGTTTGAGTAACCCCCGCGAGATCGGCTATCCGGGGGGAAGGTAGCCGATCCAAGACCGGCTACCTTTGGTAGTGTAGCCGATTTCGATCCGGCTACTTTTCCAAAGGTAGCCGGTCTCGGATCGGCTACCTTCCCCCCGAGTAGATAATTCTTTTTATATATATATTTATTGTGTTTGTTATTATTTTTGTTACATTTAATTTATTTATTTATTTTATTTTGGTGTAATTAGTTGTAATTATATTTTGTTATATATTATTGATTATATTTTATTTATGGTGTTCATGTTATTATAATTTAAATAAATTTGAATAGGAAGTATAAATTAAAAATAATATAGGTTTATTATATTAGTTGTTATATTTTTAATAATTATGGCATCTTTTAATTGATGTATTATATTTATTGTAGTAATAATTTAAACAGGTTATACTTTAAAGATATTACAATTATTTGAATTTTTTACCGTAGTTTGAAATAAGTTGTTGTTATATTTTCAAACATTAGAGCATGTTTTAATTTATGTGTTATAATTATTTTAGAAATATTTTAAATAGGCTATAATTTAAAGATGTTATTATTATTTAATTATTTGATCATATGTTTAACTTATGTGTTATATTAGTTTTTATGCGAATTATAGTAATAGTATAGTTATATATTAATCAATGTAGGTTAAAGAAAAATGACCGAAAAGACTAGTTGTACCTGATTGCACATTGATGGTTGGGAGAATGTCATTGACGAAGAAAATGTTGCATTTGAGAATTTCGACTCGGATGGGTATGATCATTTCTAAGATGACACACCTCCATCTCAACCTCGTGTTAGACCTCCCCTTGTAGTTAGAGGCGTTACTGTTCGTTGTGGCGGCAGTGAGTCTGCGGTTGCATCATCATCATCATCAGATATAATATTTACTTTTTTAAAAATATATTATAATAATTTTTCAAATATTTTGGAAAAGAATGTATGATTTATTTTTAATAATTTCAGTGAGCCGTGCTGGCAATTGGATTGTGACGGGGCCAGTTAGGGGTGGCCCTCAGGACGGTTATGTTATTCTAAGTTTTCTTGGGCATGTGGCCACTCTCTTGACAGAAGACTCGTGAATAAATCCCTTAGAAATGGATACAAGAATCACATACTTCAAGAAATTGAATGGTTGGAAGGATGGTATAGGGCCAGAGGGAAGAACTTGTTAGAGCATACGGGGTTATCCCACATTGCGGGCGTCATGCACAACAACAATCATTCTTAATAATACTTATTTTTTTAATTAAATAAAAAAATTTAAACAATAAAGATTGATTTTATTCATTCAAACAAACTAATGATTGGAAAAAATATTAATAATAACTAAAATGAATATAACATAAACTAATTGAAAAAAATGAAAAAAAAATTGCTCAGGGGTAGCTGGAGGCAAACCAGAGCTAGCCGGGTCAAAACTGGCTAGCTATGTCGGCACCTTGCTAAAGGGTAGCCGACGGTCGGCCACCCTTTAGGAGGGACCGCCGGTTTTGACCTCGCTAGCTCTTACGGAGTATCCAGTTTGCCGCCGGCTACCCCTGATTCAGAACATTTTTTTTTCATAATATTCACTGAATTTCGGCATAAAAAAAAACATACCAAATTTGAGACCGAGCCTTCCGGTGCTTGATTCTCTTGTTCTGCTATTTTTTTAACCTCCAAATTATTGTAGATCTCAGTTTGACATTATAATTTTTGGATTTTTTTTCTTTGGGAGGTGAAGAAGAAGAAGAGAAAGAATTGATTTGAAACTATGTATTTTAGTACTTTTTGTAGTACTCAGGGGTAAAAATATCCGAATGACTGTAAATGAGTAATTCTTATAACTGCAATTAGTAATGCCCAATAATAATTCCTTGTCCTAAAATTATGCAGAGCTAGCGAGTAATAGGTATTATAATGTTTTTTCTTAATTTTTATATCATCTTTAGTTATTGTCTGTTGAACTTAAAGAGTTTCCGCTTCAATCCAGGAGGAGCTATTCTTCTTCTTCTTCTTCTCTTCTTCTTTTTTCCTTCCTTTTAAACAGTTAGCCATAGAGTTTCAGATTTAATGTGAGTTGTTTGTGTTTGAACTTTGAACAGTAAGCCATTACCTTTTACAGATACCAGATATACAAATTACGTGTATATGTATTCTTGAAATCGATTTTTGGACGCTTCAAATGCAATTGGCACAGCTGATTAGCTGATGCTTCCAAATAACTTATTTCTACAACTATATTTAAAAAAAAAAAAAAAACTTGTTTCTACAAGTTTACATTTCGGAAAAATTTATTATTGCATAGAAGAAGCTATCTCAACTAGAATTCGGACAGAAAACTCGACCCAACGTTATGAGAACTCGATACAACTACAACAACAACATCATTATCACCTTCAAAATGATAATTGAAACGTTACAATACCGCAAAGAAATATATAAACACACAGAAGCGAGAATTGTTACCAAGATCAAAACCTGTGTTCTAATAAAGTATTTTCTGATTAAGCCATGCGCGCGCCAAAAATCAACTGCTTCTGTTGAGCCACAACTTACAAAGATGACAAAAATACACGTGATTCCAGGTACATTTTTGGGTATACTCATTACAAAGCGGTGGATTGGACTGGATTTCGCAAAATACGGGATGTCTTTTGAACAGGTGATATTGGCATTTCAAAGTGATAAAACTGTCTAGTTTATGGTAAAAAATCTCTTACACGTATCATTTCAGAATGGTTCGATACGTGTCTTATTAACATGTCCATACGACAGGTGTTTAAATTACAACAAAGAAATAAAGAAAAAAAGAATGATCATTGATTTCTTTGTTAATTACATAAATGACTTTTCCTTTCAAAAAAATAAAAAACAAAAAAATGACTTTTATTAGCATTCTGATTCAACATTATTCGTACATATTTATAACTAATTTGTAGCAATTGAATTCAAGGTGCCTAAGCAGATTAGTTACTGTTATCGACACTGGATACGATATGTACGCAAGAAAAAAAAATCTAACACTTTGTTACGTTCAGTTCAGTCTGTGCTTAACTTTTGTTTTCTAGTACAAAGCTAGTTGTGCATTTAACTTCAACTTAAGTTATTTACTACGTGTTCCACACCTGTTATGTATATCACTTGGCATCTTTCCCCATTATTCGTAACCTAAATAATCATCATTCAATAGTTAAAGTATGTAGTGATTTCGAAAAGGATTTTGTTGTACATGGATTTTCTTAGATTTATATGATTGTCCTCTAGTCCTTTACCGGCTTTATTTGACACTGGACCATAGCGAGGGGAACAATTTGGCTCACTACACTGGCAAAACACAACTAGATTAATTTGGCTAAGAAAACAGCTCGTGAAGCCAACTAGGTGCAGCTACCAACGGTATTGGATTTAGGATTTCTAGAAAATTTATTGGGCAATATACATTTTGCCCCCGAGTTTTGGCCGTTTCTACCTTCATTACCTCCGAGTTTTAGAACTACTACAATGTACTCCTTAGGCAATTGCCCTTTCATTTAACTCATTCTTTTAAAAAGGGTTGTACCCTCAATCCAAAATATTTTTTCTTTTATGAATTTTGACAAATAAAATACCACTCTTTATAGAGAATATTATAAATTCATACCCTTTTTATTAATTTGAGCTATTCCACTGCCCCTTAGACAAATTTTCCCATTCTAGAAACACTTGAAATGACCGAAAAACCAGAAATGTACTTTAGCGGAATTTTTTTTTTCCCGCATAAAACTAAAACTTTGCAGTTACTATTTGACCCCTTCCATTATCTTTCCTTTGATTAGTATACAATAGCACTATAGTTTTGAAAACCAATCGGGACAATCAAAACTTTTCCATACTTTTTCATTCCCTCTGAAAACACTGGAAGAAACCCTGCTCCATGGCTGCTAGTATAAAGGTGAGCTTCGGTAAAAACCTCCAAATTAATCTTATCGAGTATCACTTAAAGTCGATTAAAT